AGGCCCTATGACCAGATGTGGGAAGTGGGGGAAGAGGAGGGATGAGACAGAGCTGCGGGAATACAGGTAAGTGGAGGCAGACAGGCACCACACCCAGATGCAGAATGCAGGGGAAGAGCTGAGGATGAGACAGAGCCACGGGATCCAGGTAAGGAGAGGGAAACAGGACCCACACTCAAGAGGCAGGAAGTGGGGGAAAAGCTGGGGACAACAGAGTTACAGGATCCAAGTAAGGAGAAGGAGACAGACCCCACACCCAAGAGACAGGAAGAGGGGGAAAGCTGGGGATGGCAGAACCATGATTCACAGGTAAGGGGAGGTCAAAGACGTTTCAAACAGCTAAGGGACACAAACTTGCCAGTCAGTTTGTCGTACTGTGATGGCTTGTGTGTTGTTGTGAGGCTTGAGGCTGTGCCACCAGTGTCTTGAATGCAAGCAGGGTTGCACATGTTGTACAGGTTTCAACACAGCTTACAGACTGAGACAGACTGGGAGGAAGGAAGAGGCCATCCACTTCTCAAAGAATTGGCCAGGGAAAACCTTATGAAAGCAGAGAAACACTGTCTGATACATTATGAGGCAACTTTATGAATAGCCCTGAAACATTGTCTGATACAGGTGCAGGAAGACCAGCCCGTTAGGTCGGAAGGCACTCAAAATACGAGTGAGAAAGAGCTGCATTATCAGAGTAGAAACCAACCTTAATAATATGGATAAAGGAGAGCTTTTGGGATATCCATTAGCTGATACGGCACAACTGACAATTTGAGGAGAAACAGCTGCAAATAATAATAGGAATGAGGAATGTATGAAATATGAATCTAGGAATTGGAAGTTGTCAGAAATGAAATGGAATGCATAAAGATTGATATCCTAGACATTAGTGAGCTGAAATGGACCAGTTTTGGCCATTTTGAATCAGACAACCATATGATCAACTATACCACGAAGAGAAATGGCATGGCATTCATCATCACAAAGGATGTTTCAAGATCTGTCCTGAAATACAATGCTGTTAGTGATAGGATAATATCCATAAGCCTACAGGGAAGGCCAGTTAACACTACAATTATTCAAATTTACACACAAACCACTGAAGCCAAAGATGAAGAAATTGAAGATTTTTATTAACTTCTGCAGTCTGAAATTGACCGAACATGCAATCAAGATTTGTTAATTATCACTGGTGACTGGAATGCAGAAGTTGGAAATAAGAATTACTGGTAGTTGGAAAATTTGGCCTTGGTGACAGAAATGATGCTGGAGACTGTATGATAGAATTTTGCAAGACCAATGACTTATTCATTGCAAATACTTTTTTTCAACAACACAAATGGCTGCTATACATGTGGACTTCAGATGGCGTACACAGGAATCAGATTGACTACATCTGTGGCAAGAGGCAATGAAAAAGCTTGATATCTTCAGCCAAAACAAGGCCTGGAGCTGATTGTGGAACAGATCATCAACTGCTCATATGCAAATTCA